TTTGTGACACCGGCTTCAGGTTTCAGCTGAGCCAAATTCTGGACGCCGCAGGAGCGGGTAGAGAGGGGGCATTGGGATCTGGGGGGTCCCGTTCTGCCTGCCCAGCGGGGTTGGCTGGATCGTCTCGGCGGCTGTCCAGTGGCGGTCTTCCACTAGAGGACAGTCACGGTTTAAAACTTCTGCGCTTTCTGGAAACTCTTCCAAGGAACGGTCAAAGACAGCCCTTGTTGCTTTATCCGAAATCTTCAGGCAGACCGATTAAAAGGGGAAAGAGGTGGGAGGATGGGGGGAGCCTGTGGCCGGGAATGACCTTGTCCGCCATATGTCAGGGTGCTGGCCGCTTGGGGTCAGTGACCCTCCAGGGTTCTGCAGAATGCTTCCTTGATTTTTGTGGCTTTTATTTTGGTTTCGATCTTTTTGGTGTGTGTGTGTTTTCCTCCCACAGTCTTGGCCTAGAACAGCATTTCTCCAACTCGGCCACTTTGAGACAGGTGGACTTCAACTCCCAGAATTCCCCAGCCAGCCTTCTCCCAGGAATTCTGGGAGTTGAAGTCCACCTGTCTCAAAGTTGCCAAGTTTGAGAAACACTGGCCTAGAGCGTAGTATTTGGGCTCCGGCGTTTCAGCAGGACTTTCTAAAGGGTCCTAGGGAATCTCCCTCTCGAGAGAGGTACCAGATCTGGACTGCAAACCTGCAAATGACCACCAGAGGGCAGCAGGAGATGCACCAGACAGTCCCTGCCTTCTGCCCTCTGGTGGTCAGGCAGAATATTGCAGCTCAGATCTGGTCACCCTCCACATCTGGATGGCCTGGTTCAGGTTTTGACTGAAATGGGGCCATTGCATGGGGGATTTTTGCCCCTTTCCCCGTCGCTCCCTCTGGAACTGAAAGGTTTGGGTGAGCAGAGTTCTTTTTACAAAATTATTTTGCAGCCAGTCGGCGGCTGTCGTCCAGGGTTGACTTTCAAAAAGGAAAATATTCTGTGGAGTCCTTGGTGCTCCCTGAGCTTGGCGGTTTGCTTGCAGACATTTCATAACCCAACTAGGTAACATCATCAGTGCTGGCGAGTCTGGGGTTTGCTCCCTACAGTGGCTTGCCCTGCCAGTGTTGGGGGGGGCATGGTTTTCTCCTTGGTAGTGTCTTGATTAGAATATTTTTTTCGGCTTGATTGTTTGTCTACCTGATTGTCTCCTTGGTAGTTCCTTGATCAGGGTATTGTTTTCTACCTGATTGTTTGTCTGGTGTTAATCCCTGCTTATCTAGTTGGGTAATGAAACTGCAGTCAGTTCAGCCCTGAGCTGAACTCACTCATATACTCCCTTCTATTGGAAATTATTCTAGTTTTAAAAGCGATCTTGCTGCAAACCAAGAGATGGACCTCCAGCTCCAAGACGACTTCTGGGCGCCCCCCAGGCCTCCGCAGCATTCTTTGAAAATACAAATGCTGGGCGATCAAAGTCCAGAGGAGGCGGGGGAAGCTGGGGAAGTAAAAAAAAAAAAAAAGAGTCTTGTCTGGCACCCTCCTTGTGGTAGCCATTTTGTGAAGACACCCACAACTGGCTCCCCACTTTCTAAATGCACCCATCCACCCACACATTTTAGGGAACCCAAGCTGCCCCCGATCACCTCCTTTGCCATCAGATTGTGTCCAAGGCGAAGACGTTTGTGACATACAAGCGTAAGAAAAGGACCCTATCTAGGTTTGCAGCCCACAAACCACGTCACAGATTCTTCTGCATGCATGCACCGCTGGAGAACAGTGATTCTTATCATAGGCGTGCGTGCATTTGCTCTGGGGGGCAGCAGTGCATTGAACGGCTGTGGAGGTGGAAGTGGGAGCTTGGGGGCTGGCCCCTGTCTTCCCCGCCTCTCTCGCAACAGGTTAAAGGTCCGCTGCCTCTCCTGTGATCTTCCCAACCGTAGGATTATGCCGGATCCCCCACGGGGAGGAAGGAGGCATTTTCAGCACTGTCCAGCCAGAGCTGTCCTGTCTACAATTCTGAACGGGGGGTTCAGGAGAAAGTGCAGGGGTTGGACACAGGTGGAGCCTCCAGGATCAGAGGCAGTCTACCCGTCCATGCGGCTTACTAAAGGAACCCCATAGGGAGAAGGCTTCTGTCCTCATAAGCTGTTTGGGAGGTGTCCCTGGGAGGCATCTTTTTGGTGACCGTAGACGCCAGGCGTGGAAGGAGACACGTTGCCTTCCTAAACTGCACGCGCATCTTAGCCTTTTCAAACCGTATGGAGTGGCGACGCCTGATCGCTTTGAAGGAGGCTGCATCCTCGGCCCACATTTCTCTCCCCCGGCTCAGATGCGATGCTTCCACGTCGGCTGAGCGGATCCCTTTGTTGGAGGTCCTTTAGTGCAGCCTGCCCAGAGCAGGGGGTTGGGCTACGTGGCCTCTAAGGCCCCTCCCAACCTGGGGATGCCACGATCGCCCCATGGCCCACGTCACCCGAAAAGCCCCTTGGTTGGGGGTGTGGGCACCCCCAGTTAGCCGCCCCCATCTGACCCATAACTCCGTCCCCCCTCGGAGCAGAGGGTCCTCTCCGCTTCCTCTCGCCTGGTGGAGCCGGAAGAGCGTGTGGGAATGAAAACTTGGGAAGCGGCGTTGGCACAGGCCATAGACGAGAGCTGGGAATGCCTCTGGCCGGGCCAGCTGCCTCCGTGCCCACCGCTGGGCTCCCAGCCAGAAACTCGGCCAGGAAGGGGAGGACGTGCCTGCTTGGGGCCAGAGCACGGGCCCGTTCCTCTGCCCCCCGATGCCCCAGCTCCCCCGGCCCTTTGAGTTAGCGGAGACCAGGACTGGATGTGCCGAAAGGGAACTGGGAAGCCCCAGAGGTCGGGGCCTATTAATAGCCTCTCTGGAGCCTTGCAGCTGCGAGGAGGGGAGGGGGTGTTTGGGGTGGGACAGATGGACTCCGAGGGGGTGAATGGAGGAAGAAAAGCACATTCAGAGCGGCTTTCTCTGCCTGCTGTCCGTGCGTGGGGGCGCTTCCTGCACCCACGCAGGCGGAAACATTCTTTCTCCGGCTGCAGGTGGCGAGTCACATTTCTTCCCCAAGGGGGGGCCCTCTTTAACCCCTCGCAGAAGACCCAGGCCCTGGACCCAAAGACGCTATCTCTTGCACCCGGCTAAACAGGGGCTCTGTTCCACTCCCCGCATCCTTCCCAAGTTGGGGAGACCACTCTGTTGTGCCCCTTTGACTCATCTTTTACTACTTCCAGGGAGGGCAGGGGCCGGCGAGAAGGGTTGCTGCTGGAAGCGGAGCCTTCTCAGTGGTGGGGCCCGGGGAGACCGACCTGGTGGCCCTTCCCTCCCCGTGTAAACACGGTTCTGCCGGGCTTTCGGTTCCGAGCTGCGCTTTCTTGCATATATTCCAGTTGCGCCTCTGTGTTGACTGTGTTTGCTGCCTCCGAGGTTACTTCCATTTTTACGGGGGTTTTCTTGCCGTGCGCGTCGGAGAATGAAAAACCGCCTCGTGGCCAGACAGACGCCTCGTCCACCTACCCAGTCCCGACCAGCAGCGTTGTTCTCAGAAACAGCCCTTCTTCCGTTCCTGCTTCCAGGGAAATCTGCCAGAGGCCAGACCCGGGCGTGCTCCGCGCGATCTCCGTCCCAAGTGTGCCCTCTTCCCTTTTGCAATAAAATATATCCAAACCACCCTGGGCTTGGTCTTGCTGTGGCTTCTTTACCAAATCGGTTTTCCTGAATTCACGCGATTTCGCAAACGTGGGTATAACGGGCCGCCATGCCTACCCGTTGAATATCCACCGGGGGAAAATGAACGGAAAACGGCTTCTTGCCAGCGTTGCTCGTCCAAACACGTTCCAGGGAATCAGCCTCAAATTGCCGGGATGTG